CTACTTTGTAATATTAATCGACGGCATTACCACATTGTAGATGTCGGTCGACACACTTTTTTATTTTTCCTGCCGGCCAAATATTAGTTTATCGGCAACATCTAAAATATTTCTACTAAGTTAGTCTAATTTATGAATAAAATATTGTTATTACCACCAACACCAAACATTTATCACTAGAACATATTAAAAAAAGACATATTTTACAGATCAAATATTTAAGGATATGACAGTCTTTGTTATAAGGCAATCAAACTTTTTTAAAAACGGTTACTTACCTTTTCAAAAACAAAAAAAAACTCGATATAGATTTAATTTCACGTAAATATCAAACTCGAGCTAGAGATACAGGTAAATTAAAATTTCCTAAAGCTAAAAAAATTATTGGCCAGAAATGACTAAAATATTGAGGGCCACGTTTTTTTAATTATTTGACAATGGAAACAGGTACAATAAATTCGATTAATCATGTAAACAAATTTTTCAAACTGTTTTTAAATGTATTTTCAATTTTTAAATCAAAATAATGTAATGTTTATTATATATTTTTGGAAATTAAAATAACAAACAAAACTTAGTAACATCCCATAGTACCTTCTAACACAAACTTAACACGGACAGCTTAGGCTTTGTGTTTTAGATGTTTATTTGTACTTGTAAGTTATTAATATTTATATACTATTTTCTATAAATTTAATTGTATCGTTTTTGCATATTTGATTGATACAAATAAACATTATTATAAACACATGAAATTGTAGTCATAAAATAGGCCAAGGAATATCTTTCTTGAACACTGTATAATAACATTGTAGAGAATGTGATGATTTACAGTGCATAAGTTTGGGATGTGAACAGACTAAACAAACTAAACTTTTTCTCTCTGGTTTCTAAATTACTAGATATATGTAAATTAAAATTATTCTGATTTGTTCTATTTGTTTGATACGTACTTTATACAATCATTGAAACATCGGTTATTTTGACACCCTCTGAACAAGCACGGACGGACGTCTTTTCAAAATTAACCCCTGTTCAGGAAGATATTTCTGTCAACAGTTCCCCCTAGACTGTGTAAATAAACTAACCCCAATGTACCTACTATTGTTATTCAAATCATGGGTTTTCGGAGCGATTTAAATCGACAGACATCTTTTACAACTTGACAACAGGTGTTTGAATTTAAGGATATTTCTAAAATGAACAAATTATTTTCCATGAAATCAGGTGAACTTGACCAGGTTTTTATTTATTTCCAGAAACAAACTAATATAAGTCTAATTACATGTTTTCATAGTAAAATAAAAGTAGAAACTATTAAAAATATATGTAATTAATACAGTTAGTTAATTAAGGTTATATTAAACATCGCTGCCACAATGTTTTTAATAAAGTTTAAATTTAATCGGAGATACTAAAATAATAGTCTCTTATCTGACTGCAAAAGTAACATGTCGTGTTTTTTGCTTGCTATTTGTAGTTGAGTACAGGGGAGGGGTTGAACAAGATGTACCATGTTCCGGTGGTGAGAGCTGTCGTGTAACCTGTCAAATCCAAAGTAAAATTACTTATCGATGGATTTTTTCGTTTGCTTGCAATTAAATAATATGCTTCTAGACATCTATAACAATAAAAAAATCCCTTTGTAAGCATTTTCTGTCGTCCTGTTTTGCTACTTCTGGTGTAGGGATTTAGGCCACGTGACCGTATATTTGTGTTTTCAAGAAAATGTATAGCTTAAACGTGGTTTTTCTGAACTTAAGATGATATTACAAGCATTTTTTTTGTAAAGTTGTATCGGAACCAAAAAACGAAAAGTGGTTTAATTGCTTTCAAAATATCTGTATGACTCTAAAGTAAGAGTATTGCCCTTTTATTCAGTAGTTCATCCATCGATAAGCAACTTTACTTTGAATTTGACAGGTTACACAGCTCTCACCATCGGGATATAGTACCTGTTGTTCACCTCCCTCCCCTGTACCCAACTACAAATAGCAAACAAAAAACACGATATAGCACATTTTGAAGACAGATGAGACATTATAAGCAGAGCTCTAGCAAATACCAAAGATGTAACTAATTTTATGTTCTAAAACGAAAAGAAACTGTCGTGTTTTTTAAATTATTTTATTGTGCATTTTTGTTAGATTAAATTATTTTTAAAATTTCACTTATTTTTGTGCCATTACTTCAATTTTTCTGTTTGTAAAAAATAATAAAACCGTTTTCACTCAGTATTGTTCAGTGTAAATTGCATAATTTTACTTTAACTTGATACAAAAATATTTATACAATGAGGGCAGTCTCGGTTTTTCAATTTAAGAGATGATTCATTTTCAAATTAATTGTTAGAAAATTGATTTTTTTGTAGCTTTATTGTTTCTAAATTAAAACAATTCTGTATAAATAAATTAAACAAATATTCAGAATGTCCCTTATAATTTTAACGTTCACGATTAGTTTTTGATATTCTTCGGTTGTAGGTGTCTTTTTTTTTTCAAATAAAACCAGCACTAGTTTTATTATTTTTTGTTTAAATTAATATTATTTAATTAATCATTAAGGACTTATTATATTTTTATACATTATGTAATTTAAAATTTGTTTTGTTTTAAGAAAAATAATTCCAATTCAAATGTGACCAAGACGTAAAATAAAATAAATAAATATTTCGTGACATATGGCTTTGAATTTTATTTATTTTAGTTTTTTTTTATTATTCTATTAATATTATTTTTGTTTTTATTTAATAATGTTTTATCTGTAACATTTTATTATTTCAATTGATAATGGGGTTATGTGTAATTATTATTACTATTCTTATAATCAAAAAACCATACAATTTACCAAATATCGTGTAAAAATGAAAATTGTAATAAAGTATACATTGGACAATCAAAACAATATCTAGAAAACATATGTACCCAAAAATCACTAAAAATTATTTAAATGTAAAAATCCTAGAAACTGAACAATTTTTATAAATGGTAAATATTAAAAAACCTTAATAGTGTAAATAATTGCTGTGATATCCAATACCTTAATTAAATCTATTTCAATCTCTCACAAACAAATTTTACAACATTAAATTATATAACATAATAAGAAATATAACCTTAAATTTCACCCCCCATATAATTACTAAAAATCAAATAATAAAAGATTGCAAATTAAAATGAAGAACTATACATAGTAAATGACACTTTACAACGAAATATATATTTATTTAACGATTTAATGTCGCATCCACCCTAAGGTTATTACAGACAAGATACATACAATGAAAAGACGTCATTTCCAATAAAAATAGTTGCATGGCCATCCATACAAAAATGTTTTAAATCGTCTAAACTCTAAACAAACTGTTAAAATATTTACCAGCCTCATGGGGGTCCGAAAATAAAAAAAATAAGACAAACTCTGTTATCTGCTATGTGGTACCGAAATTATACAATTCAATTCCCAAAAATATAAAAATCATTGACATGGTTTTTCAAAAAAACATGTGAAAACATGTATCGTCGCTCCTGGGGTGATTGCTTACCCAGAAATAAGACAAATAATTCCTAGCAGACGTTTTGTTTCAAAGATACAGCGTGTTACAATTTTACAATTAGTAAAAAAACTTTAAAGATGACACTACCAAACTAGTTTTTATTTGATAAAATTGTAACTCATAAATGAAGCCGAAATGCAAAAATATTAAAAAATGGTTTTTGTTAGTCTTTTAAATGTATAACTTATTGTTTTATCAAAAAGTGAAAAAGTCAATGGCGCACATATTTTTTGTTAAACATTATTAAAGCTTTCGTTCGCACGCGCACACATGGAAAACCAATTTACATATTTTTATTGCTAAAATATATGCATTTTTTAAGTACATTGTAGAACCAAAATTTCATCCAAATCGTTAAAGTCGTTTCGGAAATATTTTTAAGAAATCGAAATAAATTAAAAATTTTGAAATTTTTTAAGAAAGGAACTATTTGTCTTATTTTTGAGTAAGAAATTTCCCCACGATTGATGACACATATTTTGTTTTGTATATTTGTTCAAAACGGAGCTAAAAGATGTTATTACCAAAAGCGAATAACATACTGATAATTACTTCTAATAGTAAAATATATTTATGCATGGATATAAATGAAAAATAAGTTACCCGTTTAAATTTACTTTAGTATTTTAGTAAATAGTTTCTCAGTACTTATTGTGTGATATTTCTTTCCTCTTCTGTAAACCTATATTACTTTTGGCCAAAATAAATGTGTTTACACTTATCTGAATCCTAAGCTTTATTCCTTACATTACCGAGTATATGTATATTTATTTAACTAACGTATTTTATTGAATTATTTAGTTCTCATGTATTTTATTAAATAATGTTTATTATTAAAAACTAAAAAAATATAACATAAATTTTCCTGATGTTAAAACAAATAAATTTTGATACATGCATCTTCATACACATAACTCCAATATCAATTATAATCAAAAACTGATAAAATAAAATAAATTCTAAATTAAGTAAATACTGCATTGAAAAAAGATAAAATAGGTAATGATACTTACTTAATAAGTCATTAAATAATATTAATTTAAACAAAAAATAAAAAAGCTAATACTGAAGAAGGCACCAAGTGTAGTTTATTTGAAAACAAGTATAAAAAATAATTAAAAACCCTCCAAAAAAGAGTTTTCTCATGGATCCTATCATGACCGAATTTATATGGCACCACCCCTGTGGTACCCTCTTTCTAACAAACAAAGAATCATAAATCGGACAACGTGGAAAAGAATTATCGTTGATCATACTTAAAAAAATATTCCGATGAATTGAGAACCTCCACATTGTTTTGAACATCCAAGAATATAAAAAAAAATAATTTTACAAATAAAATGCAAGATTCATAAAAATAAATGATTTTCCTATAAATGTTTGGTATAATCAAAAACTAACATTTACAATTATTGGGGGGACTTTCAAAAAAACCATTTTTTACCTTATTCTTTTCTTCGAAAAGTGCGCCACGGGGCTGGGATCTTGTCCCATGCCCACAGGGGGCACTTGCACGTGATGAGGTATAGGCGGCGGGGGAGGATGGGGCTGCAGGTACGTCGGCGGCGGGGGTGGAGCATAATGCGAGGGAGCTCCCCCCGCATAGGCGGCGTACATATCCACAATTGTTTATTTAAAAAAACATTCAATAAAAACACAAACGAAAGGCACTGAACATCATCACAATGAATTTATTTCGAAGAAACGTCACATGGGGGTTGTTTTGATTTTGATTACGGAAAATTGGTGTTTGGGACGTAGCACTTCATCACATGGCATGGGCCCGATCGAGAGGCCACTCTACGGCTTATTCGTGCGGCTGATTTTGACGAACTGACTGGAACTGACGGCTCTCCAGTCCGTGAACGCTGTTGGATCGCGATGAGGCGCAAAACACCGGTGGAGATGAGCATTTACTTTACTCAAAACGGGCTACGGTGGTATGGGTTCTTTTTCTACAGACTTCTTCGCTTCCACAATCAAATTTTAATGTAGCAAATAGTTGTTACTGTTTTTGTAATAATACTACACTAAGCAAAAAAGGAATTACTGTTTTAAAAATAATATTTGAAAATACAGCGTATTCTGCGAATTAATGTAAACACAAGTGATAATTTAAAGAAATCATTTATTTCGTTATGGATGTTTAATAAAGCCAATCCATTTAATCTAATTTGACCAATAGTTGGTTGCAATCAGAAAAACTTCTTTCTGCTTCAGCTGAAGAGACACATAATACTTGAAGCAAAATATAACGTTAGAAAATAGTATATTACGTAACAAGAGTTGTAAGTCGTGTAACGTACTATACTTTTTCTATCTATCTATACATTTTCGATAGGTAATTTCGTACTTTTCTTTGGATTTTAGCGGAAACAAATTATGTGTGGCAGCTTGAGCATATTCTAAAATATCCGGTGGAGTGCTCATAATTTCATCACTTTCCCTACTAACAGACATATTCGTAGATAAAGATTAGAAAATGTTCGAATACAATAATATTTTGTTACAAAAATTGACAATATAAACGAAACGACGTTTATTTCCATAGCATGCTAAGAAAACGCGACTTAGTTTTTTAAAATTGTATACTGTGTTGCTGACATTTAGGGGAATCACTTTTTTAATCTAAAATGTATCTCGCTAATGCTAAAAGTTTTTATGTTTTAAATTGACTAAATTTATGTAAATAAATCAAATAAACGTATATAAAAATTTGATTGCAATTTTATTAAACTAAGAAATTTAAGTTTTCTTATCAAAACGCACGTGTATGTTATTGTTAAATTTCATTTACAAGGAATGTTGACGGTGCGATTTTTAACGTTTACTGACATGGGCATAGAAAAAAGTTTTTATTGCATACAGAACAGTAGTTTATGTTACAAGGACGAAAAGTTGAGTTTTCCGGGCGACTACGAGAAGCTTGCTAGACGAGATGTAGGAGTCCGGAAACACTTTTCGTCCGTGTTTCATGCATTGTATTTTATTCGATTGTGCTTAGGTATTAAAAAATATATAGAACATTAAATCTGAAATGATATAATTTCCAATAATTTTTCCTTAATTGAGTTGGCTATGAGAACAATTTCTGTCTTGTCACTGTGCTCATGTCAAATTAATATAATTACCTAATTTATTAAAAATTGGTGTCAAAAATGAGTCTTTAAATTTGAATTTGATTCCAAAAAAATCAAAAATGGTATATGAAAGAACCTACCTCAAATTTGAGAATTCTAATCGGTATGCAACACTTAACTTTAGAGTCCATGGCCGATAAAGTACTTTCTTTATGAAGTTATAGAAAAGTTCTACTTTTCGACTATGTCTTCTGTCCGTAAAACGACATATTTTTGACACATTCGAATAAAAAGGGGTTTAAAAGCGGTGTTATATTTTATACTATTGGTCCCACTTGTTTTTCACCGGTGTGAAGTTAGCAGTAAAAATAACCGAAAACACCCGATCAAGAAAACAGTGGCGTCCGGCATACAACTATTTTAATAATCTTGTCAATATTAATTTTACACATTAATATAGACAAATAATTAATCTACGATTGAAAATAACCCTTAAAATTGATAAAAATATTTATCCTACAAAGGAAATCAGATCCCAATTTAATTTTTCATTTAAAAAATTATAAATACACTATAGGTAAACATTTATTCGGGTCTGTTGAACAGGGTAAAATTACCACATAAAATTCATAATTATCCTGTGAAGTGTTTAATATTTAAAAAATCAATAGTAGACTTACTAACATACATTTTACGGGGTGATTTTACCCTGTTCAACGGACCCGAAGAAATGTTTACCTATAGCGTCTGATTTCCTTCGTAGGATAAATATTTTTATCAATTTTAAGGGTTATTTTCAACCGTATATTATTTGTCGATATTAATGTGTAAAATACATATTGACAAGATTATTAAAATAGTTGTATGCCGGATGCCACTGTTTTCCCGATCGGGTGTTTTCGATTATTTTTACTTCTAAAAGTTACAGCTAAATTCACACCGTTTGTTTTTCCACATTTGTATTTATGTTCTAAGAAGTTCAAGAGATACGTCAGGTTAATTTGCTTCATATACGCTTTCTTTGACTTCATTTAATATCTTAGGTCTACCTATAAAAGAAGGAATTAAAAATTGTAATTTAGTCACCATAGCAAATATTTTTTTAAATCTAAAGGTGATCTAAAAAATAGTAAAAAAGTGTGGGGTATGTTTTCTCGCTTAATTTGTTTTGAGCAATAACATAATACGGTTAACTCAATATTTTCCTTGTTCAGAAATTCTGTAAATATTTCTTTTTAAATTCGCTTGAAGACTGAAAAGTATTTTCAATAATATAATTTTGTCATTTACGGTTACATCCGTAAATATTTACTAACAGACAACAATTGAGAAGTCTAGTATAAAAGTAGTTCGATGTTGCAAGAGGGAGGAGGGGGACACGTGTCCCCTAGAGGACTAAACTGGAAATGAGATATTTATACAAAATTATTAAAAATATCAAATAATTGCCAGTTCAAAAGAAAAATAACGTAATGATAGTGCTCACAAAATTTTCTCCACATCGTTCAAAACAGAACTAAAATAAAAGTTTCAAAAATCCGTTATTTTAAGAGATTTCTTTTTTGAACTGAGGTAGCAAGTAGTGGTACTATTCCTCAATTTTAAAATCCAATAAAATCAAAGATAATTTCAATTTTTTTTTATTTATTTGATGTAGTATTCCAGTAGTAAAAATATCAGAAAGTAAATCTAAGCAAACTTTTATTAACAGAACTCAAAAACATTTAAATGGTAATGTACTAAAAGTAATAACAATGATATATATTATTTATAAAACAAATTTAAGACGCTTGTCCCTTTTTTAGCAAAAAAAAAGGTAAGAATTTCCAGTAGGGGCCATGGGCTCCATGGTCCTATCTATGTTGTTTTCGTTATACAATGTTTTACAAAATCTAGCTTTTACAGTAGCCCACATATTTTTGATAGGCAAGTTTCCAGGCCTTTCTAGGCATGAACTCATTTTGTCCTCGAAATATTTCATCATGACCTTCGACACGTGACATGGAGCCGAATCTTGATAAAAACTCTTTGGCCACCAAGTTTACTTAGTTCAGCTTCCAGTCTTACATGTACTCTTTTCAAAAAAAATCCGAAATCTTGACCAAAATGAAAAAAAGATTTTTCAGCGTTGTCTGTTTTTCCGTGGGGCCCAAAAATCCTAAAAAAAATGGTTTCATATTTCTAAAAATTATCAAAACCCTCCATACACACTAGGTACTCCTTTAATTACTATGCAATAGTCAATAATACCCAAAATACCTTATTGCCCCTAAACGCAAAATATACGAAAAACGATGCTTAGAGCACCTATAGATCGTACCAAAAACTAAAAATGATGCAAATCAATTCTATACCAACATTTTGCAAAACAAGTTCGTAGGATCTTCCGTGGTTACTACCCCAACAGTGACTCTAAAGTTTCAGTTTCGTCTATTAGAAGAAAATTCTATATATGGTAACGTTTGTTTAATTTATTTATGTAAAACACTTTATAATTTATTTATAAAGTACTAATTAATTTATATAATACTTAGGCACTAACTTACAATTCTAATTTATTTATTACAATTTGTCTTTTCTGTCCAAGACTTAAATTGAATCTTTTCTTCCATCGACAAACTCGCGCTATTTATATAAAGCCAGCTCTGCACCAGAACACTCTCGGCTTTCCAGAACGATCGGAAACTATCTCTCTATGACTCATACGCCGCAAAGGGATCACTCCGGAGGTTTCTTGAAGTGGTGCGTTTGTCTCTGTATGGCCAGCGCTAAACTTCATACCACGGGTGAAACAAAGTACAGACGGCTTCGCGGCACAATATACTGGTGAACTCTTCGCTATCCCTCAATTCTTGTTACGTCCCAAGTTACTCAAATCAAAATTATACAATCCTGATAGACTTAGTGTTCATGAATCATTAATGGCCATTTGCACCGACGATTTTAAGGGGAGCTTTGGCTTAAGGGTCGCTTAAAATATTAAATTTTATTGCACCGTAATTTAAGAGTTACTTTACAAAGCACCCTTATTTTTAAGTATTAATATGCGCAAGCTCATTTCCATCAATTTTGAAGTATAAAATGTCATTTTATATTTGTAATGTTTGATTGGTTTTGTTAATTTTCTATTTAATTTATCCAGTTCCTTGTTTTTTGTTTAATAATTTAAAATGGACATTTTAAATTACTATCTCGATATTCTGGAAATTTTATTACCCAAGGAGGGTATACAAAAGGATAAACAATTTTGAAGATACGGATAATTTAACATTTTTTATAAGATTTCGATATTCAATTGTACAAAAAAACTGATTTTTATCACGATATATGTATCAAATCAACACAACAGCTAACACGCTTTTAAAACTAAAAAAATGTTAGGTTAAAATCGTCAAGTTTGAAGGCTAATCAACAAAAATTCCTAGAAGTTACTAGAAAATCTAGCCTCTACGCGGGGTTTGTTGGATTAGTAAAGTTAAGGGAACCATTCGTTCGGTGCAACGCTTCCACATTTAAGGGTCACTTATGATATAAGGG